TTTTAATTTTATTAATGAAGAATGTGGCAAAGTCGTCAGCTGTTAGAGTTGATGAAGGAGGGGGAGGAGGAGGACAAAGGAGGGAAGAAAATGTTTTAAAGAGCATGCAAGAGTTAGACGAATTGTTAATTTTGTTGTGATAGTATGTCCTTTTAGCAGTGGAGACATTAACAGAGAAGGAAGAGAGGAGACAGCCAAGGGGCAGAAGGGGTGGTACGGTTAAGAGTGAGGAGGAAGTGATCCGAGGTGTGCAGTGGAGTAACCAGCACATGATCAGTGGAGCAGTGTCATGTGTAAATAAGGTCCAGTTGGTTGCCTGATATGTGAGTAGCCGTAGTTAACACTCTCTTGAGATCAAAAGAGGCAAGCAGAGTGTGGAAGTCTGCAGCCTGAGGTTTATCTAGGTGGATGTTGAAGTCTCCAAGCATAACTAGGGGAGTACCATCCTCAGGAAAGGTTGAGAGCAGCACATCTAATTCATCCAAGAAGTTACCTTGTGGTCCTGGGGGTCGATAAACAACTATAAAATGGATTTTAAGAGGGTGGGTAATAGTGACTGAATGTGATTCAAAAAACAGTCATATGATCCTTATCAAAACAGAAATAATGTGTATTTTTGAAGAATGGCATATGAGTGGCCTAAATAAAGCAGTTTTTCTGACATGGAGTGGGTCGCCACATGTGGACAGACATGCTGCCTTTAAGAGCACCTGAGAAGATCCTGCTTCCAAGTTGGGCATTTGTTATTGCAATATCACAGATTAAATTAGGACAAATAATATAGAAGTGTTAAACAGAACAACTGAATTACTGAATTAACATGAACTGAATTAAAAACAATGAAAACGGTTTGCTTTATATAATTATGCAACTGTATCAAACAAAAAAATATTTTTTTAATAAAGCAATTTGTTATCTATAAGTGATTGTTTTCTTCTCATCCTCAAAAGCGCTCGTTGTATCAAACTAGTGTCTTTAAAGCATGACTTTGTTTCCAGGCAGACTGATTGAAAACACCTGTGTGCTCTTTACTCTTGGAAGTACTTTGCAGTGAATGCTGTTTTATATATATTTTTTTCACTTTTTTGTGTGATGTGTATGGAACCCATCTATATTCAGAACCTCGTAAAATTCAGAGAATCATCTTGGTTTACATAGAAAATATTATAATACTAACACTAACATGCCTGAACATAAATAGCAATTATGGAATCAGTTCATGGAGTCAAGCTGCAAGCAAGAAATAATTCTGATGTAAGCTTTCTCTCCTTTCTTATTTGAAAGCCTGATTTTAGCTTTATTTTATTTTATTTTTTTAAATCTTAATTTAAGGATTAGACACCAAGTATGTTTTTTCTAACACAAGCGGAGACAAGAGAGAAGGAAAACTAGAGCAATTTTTATTTTTCAGGAAAATTTTACATTTTGTGTCTGTGATCTTATATGTTCTTTTCTTAAATTGTATGTTCAATTCTTAAATGTAATCAAATGTATTCATTAATTCAAATAATATTACACTCTAGGGCATTTACCTATAAAATTAAATCTTTATCAAGAAAATCTTTACACTACAAAAGTGGAACAGAAGCTGGCGCCGAAGTGCAATTTAGTTGTATTAAACAGATTATGTAATGTTTCTCGGAGGTGGCATAACACAAAAATGCTGTCTTGCTCGACATAAAAACTAGAACTCATTACAGCTGCATTTTTGCCCCATATCTTTTTGAGCCATTACTTGCCAGGTAGAAACATGAGAACAAAAAGGAAAATAATTATCTTAGCTGCTGTTTATAGCATTTCAGACAAAAACTGATTGTGTATTCGGTACTATTTCATCAGATATAATTGTAGTAAAAGTTTATGAGAAGCATTATGTGAATGCTTAGTTAAAGGTGCAATAGGTGATTGTCTTCAGAAATTCTTTTTGTTATGCTGGTTGAAAGTCTCTTCACATCCCGATAGCAATCATTAAGTTAAGTGGTCTAAATGTATTTATGTGTATTTATATATTCTGTGGAAGGCATAGGACCAAGAAATGTTCATCCAGAATGACAGGCAAACATCAATAATCTGATCTTCCTTCCTGGTATTGTAGTACTGTTACTAAATTTACTATAACGTTTTCTCACCGGTTAATGACACATGATGTATTGTAGTAATGTTGTCTCTGGTCGTCTGGTCTGTGTGCGTATATGCGTTCAGGAGGCGTGGCTTTGGATGGCGATTTGCAGGGAGGGTGGGACATACGTTTCAGTACTATCAGGCTAAAATGAGCATTTTCCAAGGTGTCCTACTGCACTTTTAAAGACATGTCTTTAATCTAGATCTAAACAGAGAGAGTGTGTCTGCACCATGAACATTATTAGGACGGCTATTCCAGAGTGAAAAAGCTCTACCTCCTTTAGAAGACTTTGATATTCTTGGTTCTATCAAAATCCAGACTTTTGTGACCTTCACATTTGAATGTTGCCTTAAACAAGGGTTGGGACTGAAGTGTGGAATAAGGTGGCTCCCCAGGAGCAGGACTGCTACCCTCACTCTAGCTGTATGACTAGGAATGGCAGCAGTTCAGCTTAAGTGAGCCTTTTTTTTGGATTTCAACATTCAAAATATTATATCAGGCCAGAATTTTGTGACCATAATACATGTGATGATCATACCAAGGTAGACAGTTGCATAAGTAGTAAGGAGCAAGGTCATTTAAAGCTTTGTGTATAATTAGATACATTTTAAAATTAATACAAAATATTACAGTCAGTGTCAAATGGGCTGTTGTAATCATATTTCTTGCATCAAGTAAGCACATTAGTTGCTGAATTTTGAACCAACTTAAGAGCTTATTTACTGATTATAGAAACACAACACCCAGGTTCTTATCTGTAGTAAAAGTACATCCACAGAGATCGAGAATCTTCATCATTGGCATAACTGTGAACTGTAATATCCCTTCGGGAAATCATATAGAAGGAGAAAAGCAGAGGACCTAATACTGAACCCTGTGGCACTTCATATTTTAATGAGATATCCATTCAGTCACTCTTCATTTACACAAAATAGTAGCGGTCAGATAGACAGAACATAATCCATGCTAATGCAGGTCCACAAAGGCCAAAATAACTCTCTCTCCAAGTGAATGTTGTGGTCTGTGTTGTTGAAATATCTTATAGGAGAGGAAGAGATATGCACAGATTTGTAAGTCTCTGTGCTATGATGGGGCTTAAATCCTGACACCTCTTTTAGTAGTTTAGTGGGTATGATATCCAGCATGTTGGTTTTTGTTTTGAATCCTTTCATGTCTGTTACTTTGTGCCATTAAACAAAGTAAAACTTTAGGTTAACTTGTATTTGTTTCTTTATGTCCTAGACCTGGGAGCGTTGAAAGAGGAGAGTGCAGTACTCAATGAAATGAAAGAGGAAGACCATGATTTCATAAATGAAGAAAAGTCCTTTGATTGCTCACAGTCTGAAAATACTTCCTCACGAAATATAGCTCAAATGACAGGAACCCTTAATTCCCACACAAGAGAAGCTTCTGGAGAGAAGCCTTTCAAATGCCAGCAGTGCGAAAGGAGTTTCCGATTAAATAAATACCTTAAGAATCACATGAGAATTCACGCAGAGGACAAGCTTTTCACGTGCCATCATTGTGGAAAGAGTTTTTGTCATAAAGGTAGTCTCAAAACTCACAGGAGAATTCACACTGGAGAGAAGCCTTACTCATGCCCGCTGTGCAGAATGAATTTCACATATAAACCAACCTTTAACGCTCATATGAAAAGTCACACTGGAGAGAACCCTTACACCTGCAAACTGTGTGGGAAGAGCTTCTCACAAAAGGGAAATCTAAAGTATCACATGAGAGTTCACACTGGAGAAAAGCCTTTCACGTGTCCTAATTGTGGAAAGAGTTTCAGTTATAAAGTAAGCCTCAAGTCTCACATGAGAATTCACACTGGAGAGAAGCCTTACTCATGCCCTCAGTGCGGAATGAATTTTACATACAAGGAGTCCTTTGATATCCACTTGAGAGTTCACACTGGAGAAAACCTTTACACCTGCAAACTGTGTGGGAAAAGCTTCTCACAAAAAGGAAATCTTAAGTATCACATGAGAACCCACACTGGTGAGAAGCCGTTCACATGTGATCAGTGTGGTAAGAGTTTCAGATACAAAGTAACTTTAAATAAGCACAGCAGGATTCACTCAAGAGAGAACTGTCCTATATGTCATCAGTGTGGAAAGAGTTTCACCAGCAAGAAAGACCTTAAGAATCATGTAATAACTCACATCGGGGAGAAGCCCTTCATGTGCCACCACTGTGGAAGGAGTTTCACACGTAAAGGAAATCTCAAGACTCACATGATAATTCACACTGGAGAAAGGCCTTTCATATGCCATCACTGTGGAAAAAGTTTCAGATTTAAAGGAAATCTTCAGACTCACTTGAGGCTTCACACCGGAGAGAGGCCTTACACATGTCTTACGCGTGAGAAGGGTTTCACAAATCAAAAAGACCTGAAATGTCATTTGCAAACTCATTCTGGAAAGAAACAGCAGTGTTTAGAGTGTGGCAAGATGTTTAGGAAATGCAGCCGTTTCAAAAATCATCTGCGCATTCACTCTGGAGGAAGGCGATTTAATTGTGATCAGTGTAATAAAAAATTTATTTTCCCATCACACTTACAGATACATATGAAAAGTCATGCAGATGTGAGACTCTATTTGTGTTATTTGTGTGGAAAGCGTTTTAAGTGGTTTAGCAAGTTTAAATTGCACCAGAAAGCAAGTATCTGTGTGAAATCAAGGATACGTTTACGCCAGAGCTGAATGTAGTCTAAATGCCGATTTTCTTCTCAAATATGATTTTTAACTGTGGCCCATATCAGATACCATCTTAACAGGTGACACTGCACCATGTGTTTTAATTTGTTACTTTTACTTGTATATTTTGACTGGAGGCTTTTGTTGTGACGTACATGTGAACGCTTGTGGCCCTACCTGATCATTTCCTTTGCTATAGTTTCAAATATTTAACAGTTGCGGTAAACAGCCTCTAATTTTGTTTTTATAAAGTTGTTTCTTAAATATTTGATTCAGAAAAATATTAGAAAAACTTGCTGTCTTGCTGTGTAGTGCCACAGTTGCTATGTTTACATGCAACCCAGATAATCGGTTTATAATCAGAATGATGGCTCAATCAGACTCAACTGGAAAGCCTTCATTCGTTTCGATTGAGTTTGACTGATTATTTTTTTTTTATTTTTTTTTTTCAATTGAAAGGGATGGTGGAGACTGAATATGTTACGTGTTTGCTAGGAAAGATGTTCTGACAGACATTAGATTTCTTGATTCATGTCATTTGAAAAATGCAAAATTTTGCATACAGCATAAACAACCTTTTTTAAAAATTTGAAATCAGATTAGATTAATTTGGGCTGATGAAAATTTCTTCAAGTAAATGTAAATTTATAAATAAATTGACAAACTGAATGAAATAAGACTTTGCCCTGTGTTATTTGAGTTTAATGAGGGAATGCACAGATCTAATCAATCTACACTTATGTCATGTCCACACGTACACAGGTATTTTTATAAACGTTATAAAAGTTTTTCCTTCTTCCATTTAAAAAAAAAAATCTCTGTCCACATGAAAACGCGAAAGCATGCTATGAAGCACTTTCAAGAGCATGCCAAACCAGCAGGTGGCGATATAATCTCAACCGTAAAGCCATGTTGGTCAATCAGAAAATTTCATATAGAAAAATCAGGCACGGACATGGGATGAATGACGCCCCAGAATCCTGACAGTTATCCATTTTCACCTGTGCATGTGAACAACACTGAGCATCGGCAGTTAATGAGGCACATTGGAGTGACGTCAATGCCCGTCTTCGACTGATTGGCTAGAGGAGGAGCTGTCAATCAAGAACTAGTGGACCAATGATGACGCTTAAACCCACCCTGATTTACATGAAACTCTAACCGCAACATTTGGAAAAGCAAGTGCAGAACGTGGAAACGAGCGAAGGGAAAAACAGCAAAATACAAAAAATACAAATATGAGCAGAAAATTATGGAACGATATTCACGGACAATTTTCAAAGGAATTGCAAATTGTATTTTCAATTGCGTTTTCCATATGTGGACGCATAAATTGTGACATAATCCAAATGCAATTGCAAATCCTGCATTACCGTTTGCATTTTCACTTTCGCGAATGCACAGTGACTGCCAAATTTCAAATGAATAAGCAAAGTCAAATGATGTATTGTGCCAAGAAGGTTGCACTGTCTATTTGTTTACACAGGTACAAAACTGATTGGTAGCTGCCTTTAGCGGGAAAATTGTCCGGAATATCGTTCCATAGAAAATGTCTGAGAGCAGAAAAAAACGGAGACATATAAACAAGGAAAATTAGATTTTGTGCACAAGTCAGATAATTTTGCATTAATATTTAAATTTTGTGCAATATGATTTTAAATGTGTTTAAAGTTTTGATTC